CCGCCGCCGCTGCCGCCACCACCGCCTCCGCCGCTACCGCCACCTCCTCCGCCACCTCCACCGCCGCCGCCGCCGCCGCCGCCGCCGCCGCCTCCGCCGCCACCGCCGGACAAGCTGTCGAACATGGAAGAGAGGGCCCCGAGGCTGCTGGATCCCTTGGTGTCCGGCGTGCCGCGCGGCGTTACCGACCGATCGCTGCTCGTCGGGCTGCTGGTGCTGTTTCTGCACGGACTGCGCGCGAGCTGCTCCGGTTGTCCGCTCGATCTCGGTGTCGGTGGGTTCATTCGCGGCGACAACACCTCTCGACCTTCCTCCGATCCTTCGTGCAAGCTACTGCTCCGTCGATGATTGAACGAACCTTGCTCCTCCTCCTCTCTGCAATCCTCTATGATCTCCTTCTTCACGTATACCTCGCGATTCGCCTGGGACTGCGATTGCGACTGCGAATGTTCCTCCTCGTTCGCCACTCGTTCCTCCGATTCCTCGTCTCGGGGTTCCTTCTTCACCACGACCGAACTCGCCGCGGCAGCCGAGGCGGACGCGTTGGTCGCCGATTCCTCGTCGCCGGACTCCTCGGTGGTGATCGGATGATGATGACGACTCGAGGGTATGTTTTGCGTGCCGAGTTGCTTGTCCGGTGTGACCCGGTGATGGTGGGAATGCCTGGTGTCCGAGTGGCCGACCGAGGACAGATCGACGCGTCTCTCGGGCGTCATCGCGTCGGTTCTACCGCCGCTTCCGCGTTCCGACACGGAACTCGACTCGCTTCCGCTGCGTTCCCGCCGCGCGGCCGTACTCGTCGCGTAGTGTTGTTGCTGCTGCTGTTGCTGCTGCTGCTGCTGCTGCTGTTGCTGCTGCTGGTGCTGGTGTTGTTGCTGATACGACCGTAAGAGGTTCATGGTTTGCGGATCGACCAACGGTTTCGTGTAATCGACGCTCTCGTCGATGCCGAGTCGTTTCAAGATACTGGTACCCATCGGGGCCCCCGGTTGAGCGTGGTGCAGCCCCGGCGTGCCGTGCCTCACGCGCGAATCGAAACTCTTCTCTATCAGTTTCTCGATGGCGTTCAACACGGACGGCGACGAGCTGCCGGTCGTCTCGCCGGTGGTCGGAGTCGGCGTATCCTTTCCCGGGGTAGTCGCGTCGCTGGCCGACGAGGGGGACCGATGATGCCTCGAGGAAACGGACGAACCGTCCTCGGTGACGCTTTTGCGACCGGTTTCGCTCGGCGGTAACGTCGCCGGCAGATGATTCGACATCAACGCGTTCTTTAGGAAGTTTCGTTGATTCGCGCCCACGGTACCCGCACCGATGCACTGACGTATATGATCCACGAAGATGGTCGTTTCGATCTTGTCGCCGCACTTTTCGCAGGTTATGCGTCCGGCGTGTTTCCCGAGACTGTGCGTCAACCCGGTCGCCGCGTCGCCGTTCTTGAACTCGTTCTGCGCCCGTTCCAGCTCCAACAGTTTTCTCACCGGTAACGATTTCTTGCGTTTCTCCCGCGTCTGGCGTCGTCTACCGCCGCTCTCGGTGATGGAGCGCATTATGTGCTCCTTGTAATGGGAATTCTTCACCATGTGGTTGCTCAGTTCCTTCAACGAGCTGAACGCTTGATCGCAAACCTTGCAGGTGAGCACGGCGCTCACGTGACTGCTGGTGGCGCCGGAACCCGGGCCGGTAGGGTTTCCGGCGTGCGGTCCGGACGCGCCACCGGTGGATATCGCCGCGCCACCACCGCCGCCGCCAGCGCCACCTGTCACGTTTCCGCCAACACCTCCAGCGCCGCCTCCGCCGCCGCCGCC